TTCTAAAATGATGGGTCAATACCTGAATCTAGGTAGAATCGGTTGAGAAGAGCTCCGATCCGCCTGAACTGCCGCATGAGACCTGTGAGAACTCAACGCTGGAAGGTGTTTCCGGCGAAGAGCCTCCGATGCTTAAGTCAACACAAGTGAGAAGATAAAGCTCTGCAATCCAGAGCTATAATGTATGTAAGATGTGTAGAATGTGTGAGAGAGAGTTAGGGTTGTACTTCAGTCCCCCTTTTATAGGGAAAAGTACTTGCCCGAACTACCCCCTGTCAACCTGCCCGAGCTACCCTAGGTTTGATCTTATCCTCATCCGAATCATATCTGAGTCATCCCCATATTCCTTCTTATCCACTCTTTAAATTCCTGAGTTATGTGTCTATATAATTGTAGTAACCTCCAACTATCGATAGGCCACTCTTCATGTGGGTCATACTTAGTCACCTCGGCCTCCTTATACTTAATCACAGAGACCTCCTTATACTTAGTCTGTTGGTCACAGAGACCTCCTTATACTTAGTCTCCTAAGACTATCTAATACATAGGACACCCTTTCCTTCAAGTCTCGTTTAGACTTCCTTATACTTAGACTCCGGTCCACTAAGGGGAATGTATCATCTAGTTCCTCCCCCCTTTTAGTGATTGAAAAAATAAAATAAAAAAATAAAAATTATGTGCATAACAAATAACAACTAATTGCTTATTTCTTCTTCAATAAATTGGGAATAGATATAGCCTAATAAATACAATCCAATTCAAAAATTAGTATATTTTTCTTTTAATAAGTAGAGTTTTCCTTGCAAGGCCTAATAATTTAAGCAAGGGCTTTTATTTGTCATATCCCACATTTAAACTACAAGTAAAAAATGTGTGTTATTTAGATGACTTCATAATCAACACTTCACAAATTTAAAAGCCAAACCGTTGACCATTTAAACCGGCCCTGATAATTGGATCGTCCAGTTTTGGACTAGTTTGAATAGTTCTCATGCCCAACAGTTTTATGCACAAACTGAACCGACACGAAGGGTGGTTTCCAGTCGAACCGATTGAGTTGGCTAGACCGGTCTAGCTTTCAGAACCATGGTTAAGACCTAAGGACTTCAAGGCTATGTGGAAAAGGGGAAAAAATTCTAGTAAGATGGAAAGTATAACTTGCTAAGGAAACTTGCCCGGTTAGAGATGTGGTAAACTAGAAAAGAAGATCTGGTTAGATATTTTTCCCAGCAAGGACTCTCTTGGACATCAAAACATCTACCCTATATGAGTGTTCCAGTATCTATATTATCATTATTGCATATACTCGCATTAAGTTCATTTATTTCAGCTTGTTCTCGTACATATTTTGACTTGAGTGTCTACGCCAAGACCTCCTCCTGTCATATGCTGGTGACCGGAGCTTAAAGGAGGCAGACTTTTGAGGGTCAATTGACTTAATCCGGTTCGCGGTGAATAAACTTTTCCATCAATATTATCCTACCATTTTCTCTTATTTCTCTTCTATTTTTTATCACCATTTATTCTTTATCAATATCTAAATTGGATCCACTACATTCTCAACACTATTCCAACTAATGCACATGTATTTATTATCCTTGTCAAAAACCATCTATTTTATTTTTTCCATTGTTTTTAGGTTGCTCCTTTAATGCTTGGTTTCCCTTTGTTTCGCATGATAAAATGGCAAAAAGTCGGAAGGAAAGAAAAATACAAAAACAAGTAAAAACTCTCGAATTAACTAAAAAACCTTTAAAATAATGAGCTCAAAAAAGCTCGACACAACATATGAAAATCACGTAGACAACACAACAAACTTACAGATGTGTTTGTAAAAGAAAAATCTCAAACCAAATTAATTCATACTCAAAATCTAACTCAATCACAATATCCTCAATATTATCAATATAATTAAATAATAATAATCAATCATTAAATAATAATAACCAATCATTTTATTAAATAATAATAATCAATCATTAAATAATAATAACCAATCATTTTTACACATCATATCAACTTTAATTCACTATTCATTACTCACATAATTTCAACTAACCATCACTTTATATCATTTCTCTCAAACTTTTACATCATACCGATTTTAATTATTTTATTTTAAATATTATTTTAATATAAACTCAAAATCTCACTAACAACTAACTATACCACTTTTTCTAAATTAACCTTAGTTAACCACAAAAAACTCGTTTGAGTTAATTCACTCAATTTATTTCTTTTACAAATACACACTTAATATATAATATAATTGTATGTAATATGGATATTTAATTGAATATCATCAAAATAAAACGAATTTGATATATCATGTTTCGAAAAACTAATAATAAAATTAATAATATTTAGTTTTAAATTATTTTTATATTTTAAGTTCGCAAATTATTTATACTTTTAAAAGTAATAATGAAGTGAAGAACACGATCAGTTTCAATTGAAGTTCTAATGAAGCTATTCATATTCTTCAGTGAAAAACCAAATATTACTTCTGGCGTCTAGACCCCAAAAGCAGGGGTTGTGGGGTGGGGAGAACCGTGGAGGCACTGGACAACATGTTGTGAGAACGTTGAGGTGGAGGGGCTGGAGTTCCTCTTCTCGCCGAGCTGTAATGGAGGCGTTGTGGTAGAGGGCTCTCAGCCTCGGTAGTATACATGGGGAGACCAAATTGCTACGGTGTATCTATGAAAGAACATAAAGAGCAATGGATGAAAAAGAAAATAGTTTCCAAGGAGCAACTATCTTCTCTTCTGTTACAACAATGCACATAAAACAAAATATTTTCCAAGGAGCAACATACATTATTGAGAACATATAGATGTCAACAAAAAATTTACAGCATAAGATTTGATATTCACTTAAAAAAATCTATATTTTCCAACATCCAGCAAACTACTCCTCAGTGCTTGAGGTAGAATAAAATAACACTTCATTTACAACTATATCTAGTCTCTTTCCCAAAACTTCCCAAAAATTGACAAAGAAACTTCAAAGCCTATCTTAAAAAATGGAATCAAATTTCAAATATCTCAAAAGCAGCCACCAACACCAAAGACCCATGCCGACATACATAATTGAAATTTATCAAAACGAAAGAATACACAAATTACCAGAATGAGGGGTTGGACGAGACCAAAAAGGTTGAGACCGAGGAACTGCAGCAACCAGTTGCAGTTCGGTTTCAGGGTCATGGTGAGCTTGACTAGGATTATAGAAGTACTCCAATGCGACAAGAGCGGCGGCATTTTGTGCCTTTCTAAGAGACATCCATTCACAGGGAGTCCGAAATATAACGCTGCCTACAGTTACGTCCGCGGTGAAGCGAGGTTCGTGATCGGGCCGTATTTCGTA